ATCTGCTGATTTTTATATTCGAATTTCTTAACTTCAATTTTTTCAAAAAAAATATTGAAATTAGTTGGGTGAGTAACTATCAGCTGTATCGAAACCACTGGAAGTAAGGGTGTACAGGATCCAAACTAATTCGTCAAAACCAATCAATCTAATCCAATCCAATCCAATTCAATTTAATTTTATTGATTTTGATAATATTAGTGGATTGGATTAGATTCAAAAAATGAAAAATCGATTGGATTGGTTTGGTTAATGAATTTAAAATTTGAAATCCAATTCAAACCGAACCAATCCAACATTTTAAAAATAGATGCAAATATTTGACTTTTCTAAGAGCACCTCCACCCATTTACCATGGCAAAGGGCAAAGGCAAGCCAAGGGCTATTACTATTCACGCGAAAACCCTTGGAAAAGACTTGTGGTGTTTCCACCCATTGCCAGGTAACCCAAGGGCAACCACTATTCACATGAGATATGAAGAGATGAATTTGTATAGAGTTTTGGTGAGAAGTGAAGAATATAACTAAGTATTTAGTATATAAAAAAATCTGAAAAATCTAGTAATTTTTTTAGATTTTTTAAATAAAAATTCTGTTACTGACGTCATTGCTAACATCAGCAAACCCGGGCAACAGCCCAGATTGTTCTTGCCTTTGGGCTGGCCTGATTTGCTCGGACCCATGAGTTTCTAGGGCTGTAGAAGCCCGCTGGAACTACAAATTAGGGCTAGGCCCCTTATTGCCGGGGCTGGGGGGGCACCAGTGGAGATGCTCTAATGTTCAAACCTAAACCACCTTTCATGTTTCACTTACACCAACACACTAACACAACTTTATTGATATTCTTTCGAAAAAATTTATATTAATATAGCATAAAAATGATAGATTTCTAAGTTTTTGTGTTGATTTTGTTGAGGCCCAAAAAATCCATGGTTGGGCCCGAATAAATTCCTAGCCCAAAACGATATATTATTGGAAAAAGACCCGATTTGGAATACACGTAAGTCTGCCATGCACAAGCCACACCCTGCATGCCATGCCAAATAAAAATCTGTCATGCTAGAAATTGAGATTAAAATTATAAAGATGCATTTAGCTCTGCAAATCCATGCCAATTATCCTATCAAGCGTCATAATTAAAAGCATGCCAAGAAACATGTCATGCCAAGCGGGAAATTATTATTTCACACCCAATCGCACTACAAGCTTAAGTGGGCCCAAGCCACTCGAATGCCCGGGGCTTGCTGAGTGAGTTGTGGTATGGATGGTAACAAGCTTTCGTGAGGCCCATTGATGAGCCGAGAAATGGAAGTTTTGGGTTTCTTGGGAGCCCAAAACTCAAGCCCATTTCTTGAGCCCAAATATGTGGGTAAGCATAAAAGAGAGAGAAAAGGAAGCCCAATACTCTAGAAAAATTAGCCCTTCACCTTAATAAAATAGCCCATCACTTTAGGAAATTAGCCCATCCCCTTAATGGGCTAACCCATCACCTTAGAGAGGCCCATGTAACCAAGGAAAATATCTGCCATCTCTCCAGCACTTAATTGGAAACCAAAAACAGCGACAAAACCAAAGCTACCCATGTGAGTGGGCTACTGGGAACCTCCAGCACATGGCCAAAGACAAATCCCAACACAAGCCATCCAAAAAACCAAAGGATAGTTGAGCAAAACACCCTTCATACCAGCGCCCTTACCAATTTCTTTCTCCTACCAGGTTTGGCCATAGAAGAGAGAAGGAAAGAAGGTGAGGTGATAACCAAAAATGGTGTTCACCATTAAAGTAGCTACAGGAAAAGCCTTAGAGCTCCCAAAAACCTATTTTCGCTCCTGTTAGACTGTTCCAAAGTTTGACAGAGCTCTCGTCGAGCTGCCGGAAATTGCTCAAGACACCCACCTTCCTTCCTCTTTCTCTATTTCTTCAACAAATCCTTCCAAAATACCTTTCCTCTTTCCTTAGAACCCCTGTTACTCATAGGAACTCATAGCTTTCTCTCTCTCTTTAATGCTAAACTCATGATTGCTTTGCTCCCATGCCACAAGCCTCTCATGCCAAGCTAGAAAATTTATCTGTAATTTGTTGTTGTTTTCATTGGTGAAGATAACCAAAAAGTTTCCTAAGGCGTCATCACCCTTTCGAGACATCTTTGGGGCTTAATCTTCGAACTCAGACACAAAGGGGACACTTGCATCAGATTGCTCTTTACAGCAGCCCAGCCCACTTGCTGCCGGAAGAAAAAAGCCCCTACAAATTTTAGCCTTTTTTTTAAGGAATGGATGTAACTTAAACTCTAAATGTCAAACTTCATGTTGTAGTGTTGTTTTCTAACATTTATTTATGTCTATTTATAACATACTTAATGGTATTTTCTATTTGATTGAATTCTATACTATTTTATTTGCAATTATCGTATTTTCAAAAAAACTGATCATCCAATCCAATCCAATCCAATGTACATTAGATAGGATTGGATCTTGACATCCGAACACATTGGATTGAATTGTGAAATCTCAAATTAGATTGATAAAAAATCATTGATTTTGAACTTATTTATACACTCCTAACTGGAAGTGTTTTGTTGTTGTTGTTGTTGTTGTTGTTGTTGTTAATTTTTACTTTTATTTATCAAGCATCATATCCTAATACAAACTTATAAATTGACAATCCGTATTTGGGACTGATGATTTATTTAAAATCGGAACATGTTATGATTTATTTACTCTAAAAATAAAGAAATAAATTATGGTATCATAATTATGTGTATGTGTGAGAAATCCTCTATTTATAAAGAGTTGCTTTATACTAAAAAAGAAAGAAAGAAAGAATGAATCCATGTTATATTGAAAGTTTTAAAATTTTCTTTTTTATATTGAAAGTTTTAAAATTTTCTTTTTAGAATTCAACACTCCATGATCTGAGTTCTATTGGGCCAATGCTTTGGGTTCATAGAATGGACGACAAAGAAAGCCCTCATCAGTGAAGTTTTGTTTTGTTGCTTTTGCAATGGCCCAATGGCCATGGCCTATTTTTTTAAATTTCAGCACCATATATCAGATCAGGGTTTGAAACTAAGCAAAACCAATCGTTCCACAGCCAACTCACTCTTTGAAATCCATTTCATACCATTATAATTTAGAGCATCTCACTTGAGCCCATAAGCAAAGCCAATATATGAGCAATGAGAGTTTAGTTATGCAGTGCAAATTACAAATATATACGCCATAAGTTGGTAAGGGAGGGGAGGGGGATGCAAACTCACACACATTTTACAATGCCAGGTCTCGAACTTAGGATTAGCTGGGTGGAGACAAAACTCCTTACCACTACATTAGTAGGATCGGCTCCTTATTAAAATAATAATATTTTAAATCCTAATATGAAAAGAGATTACAAGTTCGAACCATCCCCAATTTATAAACTAAAAATAAAATCATGCTTTATATCCCTGAACTAGGCACATGGTTTTCATTGTGGGTTTTTTAGGGCCAAAGTTGGGCTGAGAAATGGGTGCCCCATAAAGCATGAGCAAAGGAGTGAACCCAGTTGCTAAAGGCACCCATATAGAAATGCCAAGTGGCAAAATGGGTAAAACAAAACAAACGCGTGAAACATATGCATTTCAGAGAATCAATCACCATAATTTTTGTTTTTAAAAGAAAAGAAAGGGTCAAAAGAGAGCCGACCCCACCTGCCCACCACCTTTCAACATAGCATGTGATGCCCAATTAATTAAATTTGGCAATACCTAAGATACATCTCTCCACTCCATTCCACATCCACTCATGCACTTTGCAAGAAATTAATAATGGAACAAAGGAATGGACGTGAACAACGTGACCATATGAAACCATTGGTTTACAAACTTCGCTTGGTGTAAAAAGATGCTTAGTGCTCGCCATAACCCATACACGAAACGATATTTATTTACGTGTTATAATATAGATGATCTATTTATACATATTTCAACATATATAAGGTCACTTAATTACGTGTTTTAATATAGATTGTCGTCGATCTCTTCATATTTTAGGGTCTAGTGTTAATAAATAAAACACTAGTTATAACATTTCTTGTGGCTAATATAGACCTAATATTTCCTAGTAAACTAATTTATAGACTAGTTGTGCCTTGTGCATGAGCCTTGTAAAGCATGTGTCTGCCATTATTAATTCATGCTGCCTACCTTTTGTTTCTATTGGTTGGTATTGACTTGTCTTGAAAGTTGAATAGATAGAGGCCAAAGAAGCCACCGCTAGATTTTCTTCTGCCCAAAAAGAAGAAAGCAAATCAGGCCATTTTTCCGTGTACAAGTTTGAATCCGCTGTGCTTTTCAGTAGAAGATATCAGAAATACCCAAAAATATTTTGGCCTCACTGTCTCTCTTTGTTTTGGAGCTTTAGCCGTCACAGAAACTGGCTGTGCGCAAGTTGTATGCAATGTGCATGAGCTGAGCAAAAACCCATTATTATTCTAAGGCTTTTTATCATAATGGTCATGAGGTTTGCGAAATTATCGTCTTTCATCTTAATGTTCTTTTCTAACACTAATGATTCTTAAGGTTACTCTCAGCACATCAAAATGATCTCCTCTGTTCTTGTGAGGGTTGGGGAGCATAAATCTAGTGAAAATGCCATCAAATAGGACATAAGTGGTTAGTTGAGGAGGTAGTTGGTCAATGCTTTTTTAAGAAGTCGAAGTGCATCTTTTATATCATCAACAACTTTTATGGATATTGCATTTGTTAAAGATGCAGATAAAAATAACTTCCCATATTTACAAGCTACATGCTGTTCTTTATTTGGTCGGACAACAAACCCACAACAAGAAAAGGGGCCACATAAATTTCTACCGAGGAAAAGAAAAGGTGGGATTTTGAGGACCACATAATAAAATAAATAATTGTTGAACGTGCTTAAAGGAAAGCATGCTTTTTTATCGGATTGGAGATGATGGCTGCAACTTGCAGTCCACCAAGAGAGAAAAACAAGAGGTGACATGACTTAATTATAAATTCAAGATTATCATTAATTGAATTCCTTTTCTTCAAAGCTTAATTACAACAACAGCAGCTAAGATCAATCAACAGTTAGTACCATATTCTATGGCATCCGCTCAGTTGAGCCAAGCCTTACAATTTAACAAAAATAGAGCTACATGAAATTCTTGGCTTAGCCCGCCAAATGTGAAAAGATAGCAGACTTGGAACTATAATATAAGCCTAAAGGATGCATATATATATATTGGCGCTCATATCATTGGGTTGGTTGAGCAGCCAAGCCTAACCATGACTTGCCTTCAGCTGGCTTCGCCGGGCCGGCTGCAGGGCTGCTTGTTTGGTATGGTGCTTTGTTGTTGATCCTGTAAATAGAAAAATTGCAAACAAGATCCATCAGTTGGACCATAGGAATCTATTACTGTAATCTATAGCAAACAAAGGTATATTGATTTTGACTGCTAAAGATTTATCCTTCACACTTCTGGTAGAGAGAAACAATCTCAATATGATAAAACAAACTGGTAATTCACTAATGAGATTCATGGATTTGTAATTTTGATATGATGGAAGACAAACAATTCTTCTATTTGTTTCTGATGCCTACCTATCCTTTCTCTTCTCCAGGAATCGGTGAAGTGAAGCTTTCCTTGCAATCGGTAGATCTGCAAATTGAAAAGGAAAACATTAATCAGAAGCATGTTATTTTTTGCACTTCTTGATATGGAGACACAGGGATCACACAAAAAGAAAATTACCACAAACAATGGGTTGAGGCGATGGCTTAGGGGCCTCCTGAATGACTTGATTGCCAAACTTGGGAAACATGTTAGCACTTGGAGGAACTGAACTGCTGGAATTCATTGGATTCTTGCCCAAATGAGAGGCAAACACATTGTTACTCTTGGCCGGAATAGAAGCCTGAGTGGCTTGGCCGTGGGAACTTTCCTTGCTTGCTAAGAGCATGACTTCCTTTGCCTTGTCTGCTGGAAAATCGTCGATCACAATTACTTGTCCGCCATAGAAGATGGTCATTTGTGCCTTTTGAGGCTCTCCTGGGGCAGATTTCTTCACACTGACACATGATAAACAAGCCATAATGAGCTAAAGAAACACATCACATATAACATACTGAGACATATATAACTTCCTACTTGTTCATGTGAAAAAAGCTGAACAAAATCATTTGCTGCTATAATTTTCCAGAAATACCATTTCCACTTTCCAAAATCTGACAAAGTATTAGCTATGGGAACCCAACAATGTCTTTAAATTTACAGAAACAAGATCTGGGCATACCTAGAATCAGCCATCTTGGGAACGTCTTCTCTGGGAACAGAGGAACCAAAACCAGCTTGTTGAGGAAACAAATCCATGGATTTGAAGTCTCTAGGAGTTGCTGGCAGGTTCCTTGAGTTTTCCATAAATGGAAAGAAATTCACGGGTGGGGCTTTCTGATGAAACATCTCAGGTGTCCCTGTCCCTGTAGCAGCATCAGCTCAATGAATCACATACTATTTTAGGAACTAAATAAGAAAAATTCTAAAATCCTTTGGTGGGCAGCTACTAGAAACCAAAATTGAAGTCTCCGACACAATCCGAGATACATAACAAGTGTGAAGATAAAAACGCTTATTCTGAGGAGGAAACAAAGGACACGTTCTTCTATCCTCGAACCATTTAAACGGAATCAATCAATTTCAATCGAGATTTTCGTGGATCTCCAAAAACAAAAACCAATTCAACAACAAAAATAAGAAAGAACTTTACAAAATTAAATTAACAAAGAAAGAAAAAAGGGAAATAAAAACATCGATATGAAGATCGAAATCAAAATTCAACTTCCATCATATGAAAAATAAATGAATAAACATATATATGCACGCATGAGATAAGATTAAAAAATGAAATTCATTTTCTTCCTCTGCTTTTCTCAGCAACCAAACAAACACAGATGCATAAGCTCCCATGAATCAAGACTAGCTAAAATAAGTGCTTACCGTTGGATTGTTGCATGTTGCATGCCATGTCAAGGCTCAGATCTCCAAAGCTGCCCTTCTCTTTGAGGTACTGGCAGAGCATGCTACAAGTCTGAGTGAAGCTCGATGGCTTCTCCGCCATCCTCAACCCTCTTTGCCCTGAAACCTCCATAGTCTCCGATGAACTCGACATTCTCGCCGACCCAATTCACAATCACACAACCCACAACTCAAAATCCAATTTTTTTTCTCCCTTTTCTAAACGCAAAAATATAAAAATAAAGACAGACAAATATGGCAGTATCAATCTTGGCGCTGAAACAAGCTCTCTTTATACCCTTTTCTTCATGTACTGAGAGAAGACTTGAGGCCCTCTCTCCTCTCTCTCTACCCTTTATGGCTTTATCTACATCTTCCTCTGAGAGAGAGAGAGAGCAAGAGGTTTATCTCTGCTTATTAATTTAATAAAATATTAGTTGTTAATTATTATTGGGGTTTGAGTTAAAGCACGAGGAATATATGGGTGTTTTTAAAAGGCGGGTTCCTCTCACCTTCCAATGTCTACGTGATTTTTAAAATTTTTTTTTTTGGTCCCGGTGGGCCCTACCACCAGTCGGTTTCAGATTTTCAAACACGTGTTCTTTGCATCGCTTGGTAACGTCCAAGTTTGCGTTCCCATCTGCCAACTTCAACATTACCCTGCCTTTTCAACTTATTTACAGTATCGCCTCCCGCCTATTTTATTATATTATTTTCTTCCCCACCATAATGTTCATGTTTATTTTTCTTAGCCCCATGTTGTTTCGCGTGCACGTCATTCTTTTGTCCTTTATTTATTTATTTATAATAATAATATATAATATCTGCCTATTTTCCTTTTTCTTATTTGTTTTTTGAATAACTTAAAAGGTTGATACCGATCGAAAGAGACTGAAAAACAAATTAAGATGTGTTTGAAATGGATAAAATCAAACCCAAATTATCGTTTTAAGAGCAATTATAATGGTTGTTCAATAGTTCAATGCAATAGTTCAATTGATTGAGCTATTTTGACATATCTTGAATTTAATTGCATTTGTACTTGCAATGGTATAATTCAATAGTTTCCGATCAGTAATTATATCTTCTTAAAATTGTATCATTGAAATATTCTCAAAAAGTATATATATATCAATTTTGAATATTATCTGAAGAAAAACAAAATTTCATACCAAATGTATATATTTGATTTTTTTTCTTCTTCAAAAATATAGGCAAAGAAATGTATAATGCAATTCAATTGAGTTGTAGGTCTCATGGTTATTGCAATGCATTAGCAGCATAATGCATTAATTGCCGTATTTTTTTCTATTTTTAATTGGTATGTGAGTCACATGATTAGTCTATTGCAATTGTCATAGAGAGTTTATTATATAACATTTTATATTGCAATTAACTAAATCACACAATTGCAAGAGAGATTTGACTATTTTAGTTCAATTTCATGCAATAAAATTGCATTTATCCCAATCATTGGAGATGCTCTAAGCACTAATAATGTACTTAACACACATCACAAATGCTATGACTCGAACCACGATACTAACAGGTCTTTTGCAGTGAGTGTTTAAACTGTTATATTCAAAAAATGTACGTAATTAATATGTTGAGATGAAGCATGTATAATATGTGAGATTCAAATTCGGAACACTTCATTACAAAGAGTCAGTCACACAATCCCAGCCCAAAACTGCGAGGAAGGGAAGGAGCAAAAGGAAAGGAGGGACAAGGAGGAAGGGCGGGTGAGAAGCAGAGGGGACGGGTATAAGGGAGGGAGGAGAGGGGAGAAAGATGGGGAGAAGAAGAGAGGAAAGGAAAAGGGAAGAGCTGGGAAAGGAGTAGGGGAGGGGATGAGGGGACGATGGTAGAGGAGAAGGGATCGGGGGAGGAGGGGGAGCCAGCCACCAACCCCTAAAGGGGGCGGCGGCTGCTGTAGGTTCCTAGGGTTTTTCTCTCTTCAAACTAGAGAGAGAGAGAGAGAGAGTCATGCATGGTTGTTAATTTCATTATTACTCAAAGATAGAACAAAAAAATTCATGACTTCTGGGTAGAATACCAAATGGGTCTTAAAGTCTTCAACCATTAAAATGGAGGAGGATTAATTATGAAACTAATTAAAGGATTATTCTCAAACGGGGAATGGGTCGTTTGGTCGTTTTGCATCAAAATTGGCTTAAGCCCAAAATACAAAATGGGCTTTTGAAATTGGTTTATGGGTTCTCAGTTTGCCAAGAAATTTACTTACCAGTTCTTGGGTCAAGACTCTTGAACTATTAGACACGTTTTGAGAGAGGCATAGATACCTAGTCCCATATATATACAAAACGATAGTCTAAACTACAGGAGAGAGAGAGTTTCTCACACATACACAACCAAGATGTTAAGGGATTCGAACTTAGGGGGCTTCTCCAATGCGAACTCTAAGATGCGAACTCGTTACGAACTTTTGTTTTTAACCGTTGGATGGCTTGTGTGGCTTTATTTTCTTTCTTTTCGCTCTTTTTCCAACGGTTAAAAACAAAAGTTCGCAACGAGTTCGCATCTTAGAGTTCGCATTGGAGAAGCCCCCTAAGTTCGAATCCCTTAACATCTTGGTTGTGTATGTGTGAGAAACTCTCTCTCTCCTGTAGTTTAGACTATCGTTTTGTATATATATGGGACTAGGTATCTATGCCTCTCTCAAAACGTGTCTAATAGTTCAAGAGTCTTGACCCAAGAACTGGTAAGTAAATTTCTTGGCAAACTGAGAACCCATAAACCAATTTCAAAAGCCCATTTTGTATTTTGGGCTTAAGCCAATTTTGATGCAAAACGACCAAACGACCCATTCCCCGTTTGAGAATAATCCTTTAATTAGTTTCATAATTAATCCTCCTCCATTTTAATGGTTGAAGACTTTAAGACCCATTTGGTATTCTACCCAGAAGTCATGAATTTTTTTGTTCTATCTTTGAGTAATAATGAAATTAACAACCATGCATGACTCTCTCTCTCTCTCTCTCTAGTTTGAAGAGAGAAAAACCCTAGGAACCTACAGCAGCCGCCGCCCCCTTTGGGGGTTGGTGGCTGGCTCCCCCTCCTCCCCCGATCCCTTCTCCTCTACCATCGTCCCCTCATCCCCTCCCCTACTCCTTTCCCAGCTCTTCCCTTTTCCTTTCCTCTCTTCTTCTCCCCATCTTTCTCCCCTCTCCTCCCTCCCTTATACCCGTCCCCTCTGCTTCTCACCCGCCCTTCCTCCTTGTCCCTCCTTTCCTTTTGCTCCTTCCCTTCCTCGCAGTTTTGGGCTGGGATTGTGTGACTGGCTCTTTTGGTTTTTCGGTTTTCGTTTTTGCAGATCCGGAGTTGTCAATTTTTGAGTTGCTTTGGGACCACTTTGCTGCCTCTGGTTACTTTGCAGATCGCCGACTTTGGTTGCTGCTTTATTTCGTGTTTTTGTTTGCAGTTTCGGTGTTGATTTTAGTGCTATTTGCAGTTTCGGGTCTTTCCCCTCCCCCCTCACCCCCCTGTTGTGTTTTGCTGGTCTACCGAGTTCTTCTCTTAGCATCTGGTGTCCCCATTTTGCTGGTCCCTTCGCTCTCTCCTTGGATGAGAGCGGGTGACGTCGTTCGAGCATACCCTGCTTGTATCGTAGGCTTCATGCCTCTTATCTATTTAGATCCCTCATATATCCACCGTTCCATCCTCCTCAGAGCTGTCCTGTGGCCGTCGTCTCTTCGGTTGCTGGTTTCCCCTTGGTGCGTCGGTGTCTACGATTCCGGTGAAGATGCGATTTCTTGGGTTGTTGCTGGTCAAAACCCAGATCCCCCCACTTCCCTTTCTCACCGACTTCATCACTTGGAGACTACGGTCAACCCAAACCGCGAGCTTTCGCGTACCCCTCGGAAGGTGTGTCGAGCCGCGACAACGTTCCGACTCTGGTGCCTGCACCACCTCCTTCCTGTTACTTGGTTACTACTCTTGTGCCTTTGGACTGCTCTGAGAGTTACTGGATTTTGGGTTAGATCTGTGTTGTGGGTCTGTATTATCTGTAATTTTTATTGTTTCAATTTGGTGTTACTACCACATGTTAGGTGTGGATTTTGTTTTACTGCTGGCTTTATGCCTGTTTAATTTTCTTTCGGACGGGATCATGATCTTCATGCTATGCCTATACCGGGGTTTTAGTTAGATCTGGTCCTGTTTGGGTGCTGTTGCGTTAGTCCTTTGCGGGTGCTCCTACTTGGCCCTTTTGTTGTGTTCCTTGCCCTTTTGTGGGTTTTCAATGAATTTGCATTTCGACCAAAAAAAAAAAATTCGGAACACTTTATGTGTGTATGGGAGATGAGGATGTGAATGAGATTAAATGACGGCAAGCTATAAAGTGATGTTGTAGAAAAATATTTTAGTTGTATTATTGAACAAAAATAGTATATGAGAGAAGTAGACAATTTGAACTCCTGTTATGTATGCATGACATGTGTTATGCAACTGATATGTCGGACAATTCAATTAAAATCTTAAAAAAGAAAAAGAAATATATAAGTGAGACCGACGTGCGTGTTACATTATAATTAAATAATAATAATAATAATATATAGTTTCTCATGTGATACAGCTGCTCAAATAGTCCGTAGTCAACACAGCCATGGTCCTACCATCCCCACTTGGCCAAGGGGGCCAAAACTTTTATCTAAATCACGGATGGGTATTCTGGTAATTTTGTAAGGTATAAAAACATTCAGGCCCTCCACTTTCCCACTGTTTTATTTTAGGACTGTTAACGGTGTCAGGTGCGTGATTGGTCCTTTTATCATATGTGCCATCCCGCAGGTACGCAATAGGACCGACGCGGGCTCCACACGCTCCTTTTAATTTTTGGTTTTTTAATTTTTTTTTTTATAAATACATAAATTATATTTTAAAAATTTGTAGCTTAAGTAGTTAAAAGAAGGTAATTACTAGGACCTATTATGTCGTATACGTTCGAGTTGAACCCACGTTCCCCGACCAACTAAAAATTGGCACGTGGACAATGCTATTCCTCTAATATTATTTTAATTTGCCAAAAGAATACATGCAAACTAATTCAATAGAGCGTTAAAAATAAATACGATAAATTTAATTTTTTTGAGAGAATAGCGATAGGATTTTATTGATAGGATAAGACGTAACTAGTACAAAAAACCGGGCAATGTCGTCGGGGATTAGGCGAGTTTCTCTACACATACGGGCTCGGTCGTCGGACTAACTGAGTAGCCTTACCCGCTCAACTGCAATCAGGAGCGGGAACCTAACCACAGGTAGAGTACCCCCCGTCCCCCTAGGATCATACCCGTAAAAACTACTTGTTACAATCCTCAAATAAAACATCAACTAGAAAGTCTGGAGGTTACTCGAACCATGAGATGTCCCCAATTCTTAGATAAATGTGGAAAAAAGTCATATGCGCATGAAGTGTAATGTTTAAATAATGCAAGCGCATTGGTAACGTCTTATCATTATTATTTTAGGAAGAAAGATTCCAACTTGACACTCTTTTTAATGGAAACAAAAAGGAATTTTATTAAACACAAAGGTAGTTGTTAATTCATAAATTTTATAAAGTATTTATGAGTCACATACATATATATGTTCCTGCCACTTTCCTCTTTCCTCTTGGCCTCTATTCGGTCTACCGTTTAAAACATATCGTATCAAAGTAATAAGGTATCGGTTTGTGGACCGGCATGAGAATTTGTTATGGAGTAAATAAAACAAGTATATGTAAAATTCTTTTCAAGAATGCTTTTTAAGGTTGTGCTTGTGCTTGTGCTTTTCAAAGAAGCATTTCAATGTGCTTTTGGTAAAAGTGTCTACACTTTGTGTCTTGCGAATATATTAAATTATTGCATGCATATAAAGTATAAACCCCGTTTGAGAAATATATGAGAGAAATTCAACAACTTACATAAGGATATGCTTATGTGGTTTATCGTGACAGCATGATTAGAAATTGAATTAGACAGATACGAATATTTAAGAAAAAAAACATTTGATGGACTACAAAATTTGTTCTCCGACTGAGTTGAAAGACAGAGATGATTCTATATACCTTTCTTAATTATTTCGATACTTCTTTCATACAACGTTTGCTAGACCAAGCAAAGCTTCGATTCTCCTTTATTTTTAATCTAATATAATCAGTCCTGATCTCTCGGACCACAGGAGTCCAAGAAATTGTGGTCACCTACTGTTGGATATTAATCCAATGGTTCAAAAAAGTTTCTTAAAAGGAGTGTAAGAGTGAGTGAACCGTTGAATTTACATCCAATGATGAGTGACCACAAATCTCTTGGACCCCTGTGGTCCAAGAAATCGAGACTGATAATATAATATAATATAATATAATAAATTTGATTTTAGGATAATTCCATCGTCGGACAAACAAAACAACTGCAAAGATGAAGCAACAGTTGTCAAACCCGTGTGGGAAACGCGGAGAGCGATGGGTGGGGCGCACATGCATCACACACCGCGTGCTGGCCCACGTGGCCCAGTGTGACTGGACGGTGGTGGGAGAACATTTTCCTCGTGATGGCGACGTTTGAGCCCTGGGCTTCTCACCCCTTGGATATTTTATTTAACTACTTTTGGGCTGGGCAGCGACCGACACTTCTATCTCTTTTTGGGCACTCAAAACTCTATTTCCTCCACGTGATCTTTGTGTCTACTCTTGTGCTTCGCCCTTATCCTCCGGATTTGGAAAAATAATTCGGAATTTAGTTAAAAATTGGGAATTTAATATGAGAAATTGACAATTTCATTGTTTGTCAACTTAATTTATAAAATAACACGGGGGAAAAATTGTGGAAATTAGGACATCAAATGTTTGAGTTTAATTTCCACCAAAATAATAGGCTTCATTTTACAATTTTCATAGTGCTATTTACAAAATTCGACATATATAAATCCAAACATCAAAATTTTCAATTGCCAAAAATTAAAATGAAGGAAATTTAAATTGTCATTTTAGAATTCTATGTAATTTTCAATTTCTTCGTCCGAACAGAGGCTTATAATTTGCGAAAATTACCATACTACTAGCTGATATTTTTCAATGTATATGTCAATCAATGTCTACCTATCTATCTGATATGAATGAAGTGCCGCTGCTGCTGTGGGCCTTCTTTAACTTATTACGCCATCAATAATATTTTGTTTTTTTGGTTTTTCATTTTGTGTATATTAGAGAGAGTATTTACGTCCAAAACAACATTTTGGATTTAACATTTAGTAGTTTGGAGGTGAAATATTCATGAAATGATTTGAATGACTATCCATTCAATAAATGATTATGGTGTGTTTAATCTTCTTTTATTAATTACTATATATTTTCTACATTCGAAATATTTGTCAGCTCGCTATATAATCAACTTAAATATGTTAAGCCCATCATGCAATGCATTTCCTTCCAATTTTTTGTAATAAAGTAATGGATAATCGACTAAATAAACATCCTCAAAAGTTTCAATAAAAAATTCCAAGTTTTTATTACAATTATCGTGGTTTTTATTCAATTTAATATATCGATATTTCCATCAAAATTTCCGTATTTTTAAACTATCGATATTTTAGACCTTGGTGTTGAGGACGAGTATATTGTTAATTTGTGAGGGAATACAAATGGGCTAGAGCCTAGAGGTTCAATCTAGTGCCCAATTATAGACTAAGGAGGACTAGGTCAAGGGGAAAAAGGAGACCTAAAAATACGAACCATAACTTAGACTTGGACTGATGGTCGGTCATATCTTAATCAGGGGAGGTGCAGTCCTATAGCTCACATTTCACATGCAATTGGATGCAAAATTGTTTAAAATTAAGATGTGCTTTAAATTGAGTCTTAAAAATTAATTAGATCGTGTGTGGTCTTTGGACCTTCTCACTTGTCACTGTTGGACAGATCATAGCGATCGAGCCTTTAGAGAATGCGATTACTGTTTTTCATAAAAATCCGCCTATTTCAAACTCATGTTTCATAACCTTTGGCTCAACTCAATCATTGATAAGTTTGATTTTTGCATGAATGTGTAATTTATATTTATAAAATCGAATAATATAAAATACATTACTCATACGTATATATACGAGTGAGAATAATTGAAACTCCTCATAAAAGATGGAAAGAAATAATAGGACTATCAAAAGCCACCAAGTTTTCCATGCATTAACTTATGGGCATCTCCATGCATTAACTTATGTCGGCAAGAGTTGGGTGACATTTCTTATTAGTTAGGAGAGGGAAAATAAGGCTTGTGTGGATGATTGTAAGTCATATATGAAGCCTTATAATGGGTCTCACATTCATCAACGCCTTAAAACAAAACTCACCTACTTAGTATTAAAATTGAAAGTTGTAAGATACAGTCTTTCTCAAAAGTATGGATGGTTGAGAATCAACCACGAGTGTGGACGACTGTCCGTAACGAGCACATTGTCGAGAATTTATGGTTGTTTGAGCCTTTTTCTTAGAAATGAGTGATGTGTCAAATTAGTAACCAGTATTAAGTCTAAAACTTGCTTAAGTAAACCAAGTTTTTAGGTTTGTTGGTACCTGCTTTCCCTCTGTTAATTCTATGTACATAATATAATCCCAATAGCATGATTGAGGCAACTCAACCCATCATGTCCCTATCAATTAAAAATAAAAGAATTTCCCAGCAACTTCATGCACAAGTTTTACATTAATATATCCAACATTTTTGCATGACCACATTCAAACTTTACCGTTTCTTTTCCACCATTATTCTCATTATCTTGTGCTAAGAAACTTGGAATTGGTCAATGAAAGGGAGTGCATGTTCTTTGAATCAAGATGACCAATCAAACCAAGTGTTGCATATTTTATATATAAAATACAATAAAACACAAGCAAAGTAGATTAATTAGTAATATTATATATTGTCCAGTCATGTGCGTTTGATTAATACAAAGATTAAGCGAGGTTGCAGAAGCTCTTGTACATCAGATTTTCATGTTCTTCATTATCAGACAAAAAGGAAATTAACTTGTACAATATATGAAAGCACCAAATCTTCTTACTTCTTAACAAAGAATGGCTGGAACTAGGATGAAGGGAATCCTGAGTAGTTTATGGTTTATGGTTTGAAAGAAACTGTCTCCACACTGAGTGTGGTAGCAACGTTTTAACCGGATGCATCGATTGTCTGTTAATATTTTCGATAAAAGGTAAGTATTGTTTGATTTGTTGTTTCAGTTTAATTTACTTGAAAATGTAGTTCTATGACATCAAGTCAAGTGTGATATTTGTTTGTGTTTCCGAAGGCGCACCAAACAAATAAATGGCGGCATCACAACTCCCTTCCTCAAATGATTCACATATACCCGGTGGCATCACAAGATTGATTGTGTTTCCCATATGCATTACCGTCCCAACTGTGATAGTTTTGAAATTTACAAGAGATGGGTTGCATGAGCAACCAAAGAAAGGAGCTTTGAAAGTTGTCCGAACATAAGCAACCATGACTTGGAATTGGTCAATCGAAGTGAGTGCATGTTCTGGAACATAACTTATAATGGTTGAGTTGAGTGATCTCTTGATCTTTCTGAATGTGCAGTGATTGGAGGTCTTTATGCACAAAACACAAGCTTTTGTAATTGTGAGTAGAGTAGATTAGTGTACAACATCAAACTATGCCCTTTTTTTTTTCTTCATGAACTGAAATTTTTTGGTATATACAACTCCATGTAATAAAAAAGCTATAAGATGGGAGTGAGGAAAAAACACAAAAAACCGGGAGTGAGGAAAAAACACAAAAAAACGAACGTAAAAACAACATAAACTGCTCCATCGATCTTCATCCTCCCAAGATGCTTCATAAAGACATTGAAGTTATTGACCTCCAAAAATATGAGCCATTGATATGGAGAACCTCTTACCTTGTCAAAAATCATAATCTATGTCTGTCATGTTCTGGGATGCCGAGTGCTTCACCAACTTCCCTTGCTCATCATACCGGTCAAGATTCTCACAAGGGGCAGGGAAGATGGTCCCTATTACGCGACCTTGAACGAAGGCACATTGAAAAATGTGCTTCTTTTTGTATGTTAGACCTACTGACATATCCCGAAAAGTCACATTTCTCACTGGAATCTCTTCACTCCCATGGATACGAACAGGCACACGAACTCCCTGTCCATGGACGCTTGTGAAGCTTATGTCCTTGAGCACTGGAAGAGCCTTTGGATCATAGCCCTCATCGGGGTGCTCGTTGTAGTCTGTCTTGATAACAATTCCAACTCGGACATTGTCGAATGTCAGATTCCGATAGGTTATGTGACGCACATATCCGCCTCTTCCAGGGGCGGTCTTGATGCGAACAGCACGCCTTGAGCTCCACACAAGCAGGTTCTCTACCGTGACATTTGAAACCCCACCAGACATCTCACTGCCTATTGATACGCCAGCACTGTTGCATTTCAGCCAAGGTTAACTTTGAGTTACTACCAGATAGACACAACAAAGACATATACAGACAAGGGAGTAAATGAATAGTAACTCTATTCTCTGACAGTATTAGGACATTAGTGAACTAATAGATGTCCAAAATATCTGACTACATGTTCACAATCAACTAAAGATGAAGTTTCTCCTTACTAGTGCAGTTGCTGCTATATGGCACCCAGCACTGGGCCGAGGGCCGTACAGGTAGAATGCCTAACAGTGTTCTACTCAAGACTGACGAACTGACCATTCCTCGCTTCCCACTCAGAAGCTTTGATAGACTAGCAATTCTCCTCACCCTCTTCACCTCTTCTTTTTTGTTGTTTCTTTTATTATTTGTTATTATTCAGTATTTCTTGGGTTAGCATTTCAGTCCAAATTGAAGACCATATTCATAAATGCAAAAAGTAATTGGAGCTAGAGGGCTTAGAATGCCTGGACAGAGGTATCAAGGAATTTTACAGGGAGTGCTATCTGCATTACCTGTTGCCCTCTGCACTCCAGTGTGTGTGGGTAAATACATACCCTGCACTGGAGCTGAATGGCTCCCCTCTATTTTAATGATTAAAGATACATAACATGATGCCAGGACCAGGATACAATGAGAAAGTAGTATTTTTTACTCACAAGATGGCAATATACATGCAATTAAAGCCTGCTAGAAGCATAATATTCACCTGACCATAGAGCGGACAACAAGATTTCTAATGAGTATATTCTTCGATGGCCGTCCGTAAGAAATTCCATACTGATCCCAGCCACTTTTTATTGCAATCCCATCATCCCCCACGCTTATGTAACAGTCCTCAATCACCATATCCTCACATGAATCTGTTTATGCCAAAAAATCAAAGTTATTCAGTATTGATTAGATGATAAACCAATAAGAATAAAGCATACCACTAAAATCACAAGAGCAAACCAACAAAATGTAGCTCAAATTATACAAGAAGAGTGCCCAGACAATTTCATCACATGAGAGACTTTAAGCCAGATGGGGTCTGTATTTTTTTTTTCTTTTTTGTTGGGGGGAGGGAATACAAGAAAATTCATCTCTCTCTCTCTCTCTCTCTCTAATACACACAGACACGAAAAAGGATTAATAATTAACAAGTTGGTAGGACGTCGATGAAATAATATTATATATATATTAAGTTTTTAATTCTTTCTGCTCCAAGTGGCTTGGTTTCCATACTCAAACAACCCATGCAACATCTAGACAAAGAAAACCAAATAGCATGGCAAGCCTTTATAATCATCATCTCTCAAAAACACAATTGACTTCTCCCTGTTTATCGATCAAACCCGTTTAGTTGGTTAACAAAACTATGAAACCTATGAATTGGAGCATTTCTGAACGTCTGCACAGTTGACTTTTCATTTTATGTCTTTTGTGTCACGCAATATATTTTTTAGTGTCAAGTGGTGCATTTAAATATTTATAAGCTCATCTGCAATGGATAAATAAAGAGAATGGCAACCCATACAAAATACACCAGTGCCAGAATAGCATTATTCAGCGCATCAAACATAACGTCGGGCGAAAACCCACCACTGAGTAGGATACACTTACCAGGATCTATTCCATCAGTATTTGGAGCTTCAACTACGGGAGCCAAAATCGTAACATTCCTAACAGTAACATTTTTGCAGTCATATGGATGAAGTGTCCAAAAAGGAGAATCACGCAAAGTTATATTACTGATCAAAATGTTGCTTGACCACATAATCTGAACAAGTGGACCCCTAGTGTGGTTCAGAAGCTTCTGCCGGTACTTCTTCCACCACGATTGACCCTGTCCGTTTATGGTACCGTTATGCCCTGTCGGTCAGTGAATACATAAATATAATTAGAACAAGTCAGAAATTGAACACTTGGAAAGAAGAGAAGTGTACAACTTAGACGTGCATAATAATGTCCATAAGAGTGCACTGGATACACCTACCTTCTGATTGACATACAAAGTATGCAAGTTATAAGACCAGCCACAACATGTTACTCTTGTAGCAAGATGCTCTGATTAAGTATCCATGGCAAAAATGACCGCCAGCAATAAAGATGTCTAGGCTTGAAAACTATGCGATATAATGGAAAATTAGGATCATCAACTTCCCTAGAACACATGACGGTCAAGTGGAAGACGAGAAATGAAATGAAGGCAACTTCCTGCCTCTGGTATTTCAATCACAATAGACTAATATGCTTTATCAATCCATTTTTAATATAAAAATCATTTGCCAATTCTTTCATTGTCTTTGCCATATAAATTGTCAGGATCAACTTGGTTCAACTGAAGACCTATGGGGAAAATCTAAATGGGACCAAATTAAATAGTGTTAATGAAACGGGAAACTATTAATCAACCTTTTATTTACAAGGTTCAACAGAAAATCATCATTGACTGCTAAGATGGCTAACTCATGTAATCTTTCTTGATTTTCACAAATTTCAACAAATGCTATATTCATGTTTACAGGCTATAACAGCCATATGAGCATCCACAGTGGGGGGGTGTATTTTCGGGGGTGTAAAGCCACTTTTACATCCCCTTTACACCTCCGAGGGGTGTAAATACGCTTTTTGCTCCAATGAGAGGGTGTATTTTCGGGGGTGTAAAGCCACTTTTCTCCATTTTCCCTCACCTTTTTGCAGCTGGGTCCCACCTGCAAGAGATGTAAAAAAAGATGTACAATTGCATCTAAATATACATCTCCAAGGCGGTGATGTAATTATACATTCATATACACCCCCCCATTGCGGGTGATTCCGATCACAATGGGTGTATATTTAACATACACCCCCTTATACACCCCCCCACTGTGGATGCTCTGAAACCTTTTTGGTGTTTAATATCAAATTGGATCCTACTTACATAGATTAGCTTTTAAACAATTACTTACCTTCCAACTAAACACTATTGCTATGAACTAAACATACAACCTCAACAGGAGAAAGGATGAAATATCTTACCTGTTATAACAATATCTTTAAGGTTTTGACCATGAATCAAACTCCCATACCGAGGCCCAGGATGTTCTCTCCCATACCCATATGAAGGCAATGGAGGCATCAAAGGCCAATACTTCTCATCCTGTCATGCGCAAAAGAGTATGCATCATCAGAAATAACTGTAGTGATGTGTAGGAATTGTGTGTGTGTGTGTGTGTGTGTATGAGAGAGAGAGAGAGAGAGAGAGAGAGAGAGAGAATCATGGAAGGATCTAAAGAATATTAGCAAAGCCACGTAGACTGCAACTTATTTTTTGGGTGAAAATGAGACTTTTTTTATGTGCTAATTTGAAAAAATCCACAACATGATGCCAGTATGTGTATTTGGGGTGACGGTGTAACAGCCCCAAAGCTTGATTCCTAGTAGCCTTATGTATTTAAACGGTCAGGTGATGCACCACATAAGTCTGGTTCAAGTCAAATTCTCATCTAAGGATATAAACATACCTCGTCTATTCTAGAGATCATGGCACTGGGATAAGCAGGCATATCATCTATAACTGTGTGCATGAATTGTTTTCTAGTTTCTCGATCTCCAGTGATAAGTTAACATTCCAACAAAGCCCAGAACCTCTAGGTTCTGGAAAACCCATATGCAGGGATCATTTTCAGGAAAAAAAAGATTCAAATTGTAGGATCTTTTCACAAAAACTATTGAAAAGAATACGATAAGGAAGCAGATATTCAAGAACACATCTCGCATGCGTGAATGCTATCTCCAACTCAATGCCAATCAAATGAACAAAGGAAAGTTACCAATTGGGTTCACATTATTACAAAGCTCATAACATAATTTACCGGCAATTAGTCTGGGATATAGCTGTCACTATCATGTGACCGTTGCTTATTTGACAAATCCTAAGCTTACTACATGATCCTTTTTCTTTTTTTTTTGGGTCATAGGCTTACTACCTGATCTAATCACCATTACTACTTAATTATATAATCTATATTACCAAATTTAGAGGAGGACTTACATACAAATCCAAATAAGAAAAACAAATAAAGGATAACAAAATCTCCCTAACTATTATCAAATGCCAAGTTCTAAAGATTATCATATAGAAAAGGCCAAAACTTCCAGGCAATGAACTTTGTAAGTCCTTGTAGCTGATATTTCCCATTTCACAGATGACAAAATAGATATCGTAGTGAAGTGGAAAATGACACGAAACAGATGCAAATACACGGCAAGTTTTCAATTTTCAAAAAGAAACCAGAAACTAATACAGAAACAATTAAGAAAGACAAAAGCTAACCTGAATCCCAAGAATCTCAGCATCTTCAGCAAGAAAGAGAGTCATGTGACTGGTGAGATTAAAGGGCGCTGTAAGCCAGCGCCCAGGAGGCACATTGAGCTGACCACCGCCTTTTTTGCCCAGCTTGGAAATAGCCAACACAGCCTTCTCGAAGGCCTCAGTGTTCAAAGTAACCCCATCACCCACTGCCCCAAAATCAGTCAAATTGAAAGCCACAGGTCTCAGCTTTGGCATGGCTGCTCTCACCGGAACTCGCTTAAATATTGAAAACCCATCTACAATATTCCTCTGCCACACAAAAACCGATGCGAATGCCGCGATCCAAAGCAGAGTGAAGAGGGTTTTGTGCGAGGACAAGAAGGTCGGAAACCAGCGCTTCAAGTCCAGCCTTTGGTGGTGGAACCGCCCTAGTGGTAAGGTCTCCACCATGGTCAATTAGACTGTCCAACAATGTAAAGCAATGATCTTTTTCGCAGATGAACTATTGGGTTGGGCCGATTTGATGCAGAAAATCGAATGGAGCTGTAGATGGGTGGTTGGGGAAGTCGGGGTGTTTGATTTTTGATAGCATGGAAATTGTGGTGAGACGTTAATGTTGTTGGTGATCAGAGTCAGGTGGGTTTGTTTGGATTGTGAAATGGTGAAGCTTGAGTGCAATTTAAGGGAGGGTTGTTAAGGTCAGAGAGAGGAGGAAAAGTTGGTTAAGATTTGAAAGCTTTGGGTTTTTGGGTCTCTAGCAACTAGAAAAACAAAGTTTGGAGCTTTGGATATGAGAGCTTGAGTCCTGGGGCAGTGACGCGAGTGACAGTTTAACAGGCAGTCTCATGGAAATTTCAGGGTGCCTGTATCAGGTCGCGCCACGTGTGCAGGGAAATAAACTCTGATTAATTATTACTAGCCCTTGCACACGCTCAGGCATGTGCCAATTGATTTTCTTTTTTCTTTTTTATTTTATTTTTAGAATTAAGAAAAGATAATATGAGTAGTTATGTTCTATAAAAGTAGGACCTATTATCTGATTTTGTTTTTATTTTTATTTTTTTAATATGAAAAAAATATGAATTTACCATATTATCCTCATCTAACTAATAATTTTAATTCTTAATGTTTGAATTAACAAAGGGCATTTTTTGGCATTTTGAATGTTTCACCATTCTCTGCCTTTTGCTTTATATATATAGATTTTGTTTTTGTTTTCGTTCGCTACCAAATACACATTCAGATTAAGGTAGTCTTTAGAATGTGTTATTAGATAGGTGTTCATAAAACAAAACAAAAATCTAAAAACAATCCACATTGATTACATTACTCTTTAGTTTGATAGTTAAGTTTAGTGTTATTTATGGAAATATTTTTGCTCATCGCTTTAACTCAAGGTTTATTCTCACTATAATTTTCAACATTTGACACGTATTTATGGGCATAATCATAATTAACTCTTTGCTTTGTATTTATGGAACCATGATTATGCTCATGAACATGTGTCAAGTGCTGAAAAAGATGGTGATTGTACACATTGAGTTAAAGTAGTGAGCAAAAATACTCTATGTTATTTATACCAAAATTAAACAACAACAAAAATATTAAGTTCAAATCTCCTATTTCTATTAATTAAAAAAAAGTTATTTTGTTATATAGTTGATAGTTAAGTTAATAGATTGTCAATCAATATCCCATGTTTATTTCTCCCACTAATTTGTAGTCTCATAACTCATAATTGTAGCATACGCAATAGGATGCAAATGGAATGTCTCTTTTGCTGCAGTATGAAGTAACATTGCAGGAAATACACATCAGATAATATCAACAAAGTTAGTCGACTAGTGATGACATTGACAGGTTTCAATATTAATTAATAAATGTGTATGCTTGGTCGCTATATATGCTATGAGAAAGCAATGGATTGGATGAGCCACACCACCTACCCCAAGCATACTTACCACACTCAGCTGGTTGAGCAGATGATTATTTGGTTAACAAAATTGGTGCATAAATCAAATTGGATTTTAAAAAGATAAAGAATGTTTAACAATTGTTAGACTTGGATTGAATTATGGCAACACTGAAAATTTAAAAACAGTATAGATATTAGGTTTGATTGATCTAACAAAATAAATCAGAACTCACGAAAGTAATAATCCCACCCACCAGCTTCTCTCAACCCAACCCACCCCAAGACAAAAATCATCTCACTTTTTTTAAATAACTCTCCCACTAATATTTCAAAATGAAATAATGAAAACAATACTTTGATGAAGGATTATTGCCGCACTTTTTTTTTTTCGAGAAAGATAGTATCGTTAGCAAGAGAGTCTGACCTAGTGCTATTGGCACTGCTCTCTCTATGTTGCGACCCATGTTGGGATTCCAAACTAAGTTTGACAGCCAAACCATTAGCAAATGTCACATTGCAATACCCACTTATAAAAGTGGGTGTTTGGCAAAGGTTCTGTATTTGCCTACTTGGATACTCCAATGGTGGACATCTTGCTAATGGTCTGGTTCTCAAAGATAGTTTGTAATTCTAGCATGGGTCGCAGCGTAGATAGCAGCAGAGCCAACAGCACAGGACAGACTCCACTGCAAAACGATACTCTCGGTACTTTATCGTTTTCTTTTCCTTCCATGACAATGTAATAGGTCTGGTTTATTGTATCATATCATTAGCCAATACGTGAAGCAATTACACCGCCGTGGACTTACCATGAAACAAACCCCAATTCGCCTCAGACCTTACCATTCATAAATGTGAAAATGTATCTGAAAACGCAACTTTCCTACACCACCACCAAAGTACACTTGGCTAGCTTAACATATATATATATATACCAACCTTACTAGGAATTCGATGAGTTTTTAGCTACAACAATCATATAGTCTGCATGTGCTAAGCACATATTTGTGCAAGCATCATAATAATCGCATATTTGTGCAAGTATCATAATAATCGCATTGCACATTGTTAGGAAAAGAGGTTGGAGTAGGTCACAATTTCCAAATGAATAAAAAACTGGATGGAAATGGAAACTTTGTAAACGATATATATCAACAACCCCTTTTTATTTGGATTGTGTAACAACTACAAAGCTTGATTTCGAGTATTCTTATGGTATTTACACCACCCATCTAAAAATTAAGATACGGAAACAGATATTCCAGAGCAGTACCGAACCTCTGCCAAAGAGCCAGCTTTTCAAGGTTTCCACACATCGTTCTTGCATGGTGGTGGATGGACGATTGGCCGCTACAGAGAATTTGATAACTTGATATTTAACAAATCTTATTTTAAGAGAGACAGTTGGTGTAAATACCATAAGACTGCAATTGGCTGCAACAGAGAATTTGATAACCTAATACTTTGATTAATTACTTGTTTGGTTGTTTCATAATTTTTGTTTTGCTTCAAAGACTTTCATTACAAATTCACTTGGGTATTAGTTAATATCGAGTCTAATTTGTGTTTGTTTTAATCTTTGTGTGTCCTGCGTTTTGTTTGATTAGATTTAATTTTGGACTTCAAATTCCAAATTAATTTAGAATCTTCGTGGGAATGATATTGGACTTGCAAAACACTATCATTCTTGTGCACTTGCAAGGTCATACGAGCAGTATTCAGATTGTCCTCCATGTTTTAGTCTCTAGTAAAACAAATGGTTGTAGGCCAAGAACCTCAACGAACCTTTGTTTGGTCAGTCTTAAATCCTAAAGAGAAAATACTTTCATCATGTCATGGGAAAACTTCAGACCAATCCTAGGCATCACAATAAATAAACTGACTCCCTTTAATTAGTATTATTGAACTACAAATCCTAAACAAAATGTTAGGCACTCCCATTTTATTTATAGCGAAAGGCCAAATGAAATGCCAGCTATAATAGATTAAACTTTTTAAAATAGATCTAAGGAAAGCCATACCTTAACTATGATCTGATCATCATGCTTAACTATACAATCTATTTTACCAAATAAATAGGAGCACTTATGTACAAATCCAGATGAGAAAGCAAATAAAGGATAACAAAAGCTCACCTAATTATTATCAAATGTCAAGTTCTAAAGATTATCATATAGATTCCTCAACAAAAAAAAAATTATCATATAGAAAAAGCCAAAACTTTCAGGCAATGAACTTTGGAAGTCCTTGTACGTACGTAGCTGATATTTCCCATTTCGCAGATATCGTAGTGAAGTGGAAAATGACATTAAACAGATGCAAATTGTCAATGAAGAAGAAAGAAATTAAGACAGATACAACTAAGAAAGACAAAAGCTTAACTAATTCCCAAGTATCAGCATCTTCTTTCACCAAGAAAGATTGTTTGTGAAATGGGGAAGTTTGAATGCGTTTGAAGGAAAGGTTGTTGATGAGAGTTTTGCTGAGATTTCAAAGCTTTGGGTTTTTGGGTCTCTCGGCAACCACACCACATAACAAAGTTTGGAACTTTTGGATTTGAGAGATTAAGTTCTGGGGAAGTGACGCGAATGACAGTTTAAAAGGAAGTTTAATGGAAATTTCATGGTGATACCAATCAAACGATATCATCCTCTCGATCTTATTATGGGAGCCAAAACTTATCATATAAATTGTTAAATGTCGTACAAGTAATTGCCCACGTTTTTTAAGAGATATTTAGTTATATACTCATTCTTAGCTAAACTTGAGTCAAATAAAAAGGAAAGAAAAAAAAAACCCCTAACTTTATATTTTCTTGCCACGTTTGGACTCCTTATCCTAATTCATCACAAGGTTTTGTTTGTTGTTCGAATGTCCGGAATTTGCTTAACTTAGGAGGATGTTTGGCTATTGTGTCATATGAGTATTTGTCTGTTAAGATATGGGTACTAAAAAATTATGAAAAGAAAGAGTGGGCGCTAAATTACAAAATTGACAATAAAATGTTTCGAGCTTGGATCAATGGAGACTTGTGGTGAATGGGAGCATGGCATATTTTGCAGAAAAGAATATCCTCATATATTTTACTTTTTGGACGTGAGATATAAATCCATGAAATACATAAAAGCTGAAACATTATTGCTATGCATCTTCAGTTATGATAATCTTTGTTATCATCTTTGGGGTACTAGGCGGAGTCAACCGAAGCTGACCATCCTCAGTTATAGTAAAAAAGCCCGATTTCCTTAGAGACTTATGGCAATTTGTTTGAAAGACAAGTGTGCAGTGAAGCAGCAAAACGAGGACATGGGATTTTGAATGATTTAGGAAATGTCATTTTTATTTGTAGGGAGACTACATACATGGCATTATTATTATTATTATTATTATTATTTATAAATAAGCAAACACGAACTTAATTTGTTAAATATCGTACAAGTAATATGTCCACGTTATTAATTGTTGCACAAATAAACGACAGCAACCAAAACTTGAGTTGAATTAAAATCTTATTTAATTATTGATTAATTGTTTGTTTCCTAGCTAAACACGACTTCCATTCCAACTATATCTTCTTCCTCTTGCTGAACGAGATTCTCATTCTCTTTTCCAAGCCGAGATGGAGCCATCTCTGGAACCCAGAAGCGAAGCTATCCCTTCTTCACTTTCTTCCCCTCAAGAAAAAGATAAAAACCCTAGCCTTTTTTCCATTCCCGTAAGCAAAACGAGCACAGTATATGAAGACACCAAATCATCAACAAATATTCTTATTTCTAAACGAAGAGTCGCTGGGACTGAGATGAATGGAATCCTTGGCAGTTGCTGGTTTGGAAGAAATTTTTAACCGGATGCATTGATCATCTATTAATTTTGATACCGCATCTTTTAATATTTTCGATCAAAGGTAACTATTGT